AGTTTAGATGAGTTTGGCCACTCAGTAAGTGATCATCATAATTCTAAAAATAATCATCGATAAAAGATATAAAAAAAATTTCAAAATGGAGGTCAATTAAAAACAATGCGAGCACAAGCATTTATAGATAACAATTTCACTTTCAGAAATACACAATTAAACATAATCCAAATGATTGAAATGCATATAACATTTTAACGGCAGTGCATAATTCAAAAGATTCCACAAAAGTACCCTACTGGCATCCCAAGTAGGTCACCTATATATCCCATCAGCGTCTTGATGGGTACAATATATTGGTATCAATTGAATTTCCCATTGATGTGGCTACCTCTAGAATGTATTCTAATTGTTCTGGTTCTACCTTTAAGTGGCATGCAAAATGTGGTGACACAAATGAATGAGTTGATCTAGGATCAATCAAAACATGAGCTACTTTTGGAATATAATAAGAGTACCTTGGATCACTGATTTTGAAGCCTGAGCATCTTGCTCGGTGATCGCAAATACTCTTCCTTTCATCTGAAGCTTTTGAGCTATCTCACCCTGCTTTGGAAGCTGTTGCATCTGTAAGCTAGGACATTATCTAATCTGGTGCCCCAATTTTTCATATTTAAAACAAGCTCTGGTATTCCATTAACAAGAGTTAGATCCATGATTTTTCCTACATTTTTTACATTGTTCTATTGAGCTTTGAAGTGGCAAGGCCCTTGGCTTCTTGTTTGCCATTTCAAACTGATGTTGATTAAATGGTGTGGGTCTAACCTGATTTTTCTGATTTTTCGTCTTTTGGTAATCTTCGAAATCATTTTCAACAATTAGGGCTCGACCCACTTTTCAGCATAAGTTCTCAATTTTAAGACTGATATTCTGCTTCTAACAGCTGGTCGGAGACCCCTTTCAAATTTCTTCACCTTTATTGCCTCATTGTTAATCATATATGGTGCAAACCTGGCCAATTCAGTGAACTTGGTCTCGTGCTGTGCTACTGTCCGGTTTCCTTGGATTAATTCCAGAAATTCCATTTCTTTTTTGTCTCAGATAAAATCTGGGAAATGTTTTTCATTAAATGCCTCTATAAATACTTCCCAAGTCAAGGGTTTATTTTCTTTGACCAGTACTCCTTTTGCCATTCGCCACCAATGTTGTGTTTCTCCTTCTAACATAAAAACTGCCAAGGCCACCTTCCTTTCATCAGTACATTCCATTACCTCGAATAGTTTCTCCAATTGCATAATCCATCCCTCGGCTTCCAATGGGTTTACAGCACCCTTAAAAGAAGGTGGGTTCAATTTCTTTAATTGTTTGATATTACTCCCACCATTTCTCGTAACTGACAGCTTAGGTGGATTATTGTTTTCCATCTGATGTTGCATTAGAGCAACTATATTTTCCAAGGCTTTGTGAATGCCTTCCATAAGAGCTTCAGCTATTCTGGATCTTGACTTCGTCCCGGTCTGTACACGCAATAAATATTATTTTAAGTACATTCTTTTTTAAATTTCTTAAGAATCTTAAAGTTATTGCTCTGATACCATAATTGTCACA